CTTTTTGTAATACACAGAATTTCCACAGTCACTTTAAACTTAACAAACTTTATAACACACGCTATAAATCACTAATTCACACACACTTTACTTACAGTGCCTACTGTTCGCTTGACTCAGTTATCTATATCTTCAATCTATCTGCATATGTATCTATTGTTGGCTTTATTTGCCGGGCTTATACACTAAAAAAGAGGGCACCTGGCAAACATTCGGACATTTGCAGGGTTCCCCAATAATACATGATCCTTTGAGAAACTCCATCGCGCATGCTCCCAGTGTCGCGTGACTTCCGCTGTTGTAAAAAAGCGTATTAACTTTCTCACCATGGGCTCAGTCATTTTGACTGAGACTGCAACCACAAGGAAACCATGAAACTATTCACATCATAATTTTAATGTGGTAAGTGAATCTCCATTAGAAGTATTTTGTACACACAAAAAAAAATCATATTTTTAAATTAAAAGATCTGTCCACTAATATATGGAGTCAGAGTGTTGACTAATCTGAGTGCAAGGTGATTTTTATGTCAAGATTAAGAATGCTTTTTTTCCATCTTTCAGTTTTCAGATTTTATAAGAATAACATCTAAAACTTTCTAAATGGATATCAGTTTTTTCATAAAACTTTATATTTTATCTGTTAATTGTTAACACTATGCAAACTTAGATAATTTGACCAACCTTGTTACCACAATAAAAAAATATGAAATTTATTTACTTTTTTTCTTTCGAGTGAATGAAGATTGTAACAGAAAATTACAATGGTTTATCTAAACGGCTTAAGGCACATAACAGTTACATGTTTTTATTTAATTTTATTGTCTTATTGCTTTTTGAACTGCATCTAACTAATAATCCAATGATACAAGCCGTAAATAACAAGGCAAATATTTTGTTCAAGTTACCATATTGAATGATATAACACACAAGCTACTTGCAAGTGTACTAAATGGAAAAATTTTATATTATATTCTATCTAATAAGTTTCTAATTTTTACATTTTACTTACTTTTACATTACATTACATTTAGTTCTTACATTTGGCCTAGTTTTTTTTTTCTGTTGGCCTGCTGAGAAAACTTAGGCCTACTTTTTATGTAATGATGGTACTAGTACATCAAGTAATTTTTATTTATGTCAAATATGCTCTTAAGAACACAAAATAATATTATGCACAAAGCAAACAATGCCCCACAACAATTATAATTCATCTGGCCTTAAAATACTTTTTTAACTACTTGGTCTGAACTCTGATAATAGCAACTTTCAACCTGTGGGTGAAATAGTTAAAACTCTCTACTGAGAACAAGGTAGCATTATATGTCATTTGGTAAATCAAAACTTTGTTTTTCTATTGGTCATAAAGGATGTAATAGTAAATGTCAAAAAGAATTATTAGCAATATGTGAAATAGAGGATGTGATAGGTGGGCTATGCAAGTGGGTCTGACTTTCTGGTTTATATCTCCATAAACAAGGAAGATTGAAGGCTATAAAAAAGTTGACTATACCTTAGTAATATCTATACTATAATCAGTAATTTATGTTAAATGCAGGATATCAGATAGGGGTGATAAAAAAAATAAAAATGGGCAAATCAGAGTGAACAAATGTCACTATACACATACATACACATACTAGGGGAGAATGAGAATTATTTTAAATATAAGCTTTTGAAATTAAGAAAATAAAACTTATATAATATTAAAAATGATTTATTAACTACCTTTTGATGCCAAGTTTATTCGTATACACTGAAGAGTGTGTAGACCTTTACTGTTTACAAATTAGTATGAACTTCAATAGTTTGGTACTAACTAGTAAGGTCAGGTAAAATCATAACTGTACTTTTATTTTTTATTTATTTCCGTCATTCAAGTTCCCAGAAAAAACATGAGGGCAACATATATATTCTTACTCCAATTAACTGATTCAAACAAATATTGACTTCCTGTGAACCTATCCATTTCCTGGAACCAACGAAGGATGAAGGTTTGTCTCCAACTTCCACAAGAGCCTGAAATGTTAGATTAAAATATTAATGTACAATAAAATCTTAAATAAGCCAAAATGTCAAAATTAAAACAACTCTTTTTATTTCTTTATTACTGAAAAAGATCCTTTGAATGCAATGAAATATAAAAGTTACTTAAATGAGTTAGTATAAAATTCCTGGAAAATTCATACAGGATTTCGTCTACAAAAATGCATCATCACTTGGTCTAAAAGTAAAGCATCCCACTAACAGAGTCAGGTTATCACTTTCTCTTATAATACACCTTGGTTTGCAAGTTCTTAATTTTTTTTAAACTGGTAAAGTTCATAATCTTAATACATATTTTGTTTGTAATGCAAAATTTAGGAAGTCAAAAATTTTAAAATCCTAATGCAAGCTGGAGCATTAGTCTCCTCAGCGAAGTTTACATGTGTGGTAGTATACAAAAGATTTAGATGTAAACATACTAAACACTTTAGTCAATTTGTTTGTACACATTACAGAACCCTCAGACAGGACATAATAATAGACACCCCTATCTTCTTTAGGATTATGTATTTACACTTGAGCTGTTTTGATTATTTTAATATCTGAACCACACTACCAAAAGCTTCTTAAATAAGTCATGCAAAATAATCTGTGTATATATATATATATATATATATTGTTACGTCTCTGGTTGTTG